AGTCTTTGACACAGTTCGAATGACACCGACTATCTGCAGCTCTTGCAGCTTGGCGGATCGTGGCCTATCGGTAGCCTCGTCCTGAATCTGTCCGTGCCTCGAATGCCAAGATCTCTGGCCTCAGACCGCATGTCTGGCCCGGAAGGCACTTCTGATCGGAGAACTGAGAAGTCGGCTTGGCAAAAAAGCCGGCTTCTTCCAGAGCTACCGCTGCACTGCTGGGATGCAATCGCTTGAAAAGCTCTTCTTTGAAAGGGCCGAATGGGAACCTCGCCAAACATTGGTGCAAGAATTCTAGAAGCATGTGCCGCACAGAAATGATCTCCAAGGCCGCTTCCATGCAGTTGGAGGAGGAGCATCCACAGGTCCCCGCCTCGTACAGCTGGACGCATCTAGAATCTACACGTCGGGATTCTGTGTTTGTAGGATTCAGAACAGCATCATAAAGCAAGTTTCGGCAAAAGCTTGCCAAAGACGTACTTGCCCCTCTGCACGTGCGCCACCAAAATATCGCCCTCTTTCACACTTCTGACGCCTGCACAAGCTGTAATTATACAACCTGTTGTGCATTTCAGCAGGTGGCTATCAAGTTTGAAGGAACCCCTAGTTTTGCTCACTAGCTCCCTGTTGGATATGTCAAAGATTGTCCTAGCAACAGCCACCGCAAAAGTGAAATTGTAACAACTATCTGTATCCTCGGGTGAGTTCGGAAGAAGGCTGGGCTACCTGATTTTGTAGTACCCAGCCTCACGGCATACCAAGTGAAGCTTACAGATTCTGACCTCACAGCCTCTGAAGTAGTCATCTCAATCCGCAAATTCAAAAATGCATAGATGCAAAGGGCGTTTGCAAAATCACACCTCACAGCCTCAGAAGCTCAAGAAAAGGACTTCAGGAACGAACCTTCTCCCTGACCATTTTGTAGTGAATGGGATTTTGTATGTTTGACATGTTTTGATTCTGTAGGGATGTCTTCTTGGGAGATGTTTGTGGAGTGTTGTAGAAGGATCATGAGAAGCCCCCGCCCCAGAGAATCCCCATTAAATAAACACAGGCCAAGGAAAAAGCTTGATGATCTCCTGGTGTGAGTTTTCAGGCTTTGACTTTGTATAGGCAAGGATGGACAACAGTACATATTGCAAACAAAATACTGTAACTATTTTCTATTTTAATTTTATAAGTGCAATCATACTGTCTAAGTCTAAAGTGCTGATCTTGTGATTTTGTAAATAAGCATTCATGAACAGGAAATGAACCCCATCTCTCTACATACTGTAATCCAAACCATATCAACACTCAAGCAAAGGCTTGGGGGATGTTCTGGGCAGTTTTCCAAAAAGCCAGAGTTCATCTACAGAATCACAGCCCCACTTCATGAGGTAAGAGTTGGGTGTCCTTGCGATCGCAAGTCAAACACCTACAGTATGTTGATTGCCAAGCGAAAATCCCACCAGTAACCAGGGGCCCACGGAAGATTAAAAGGTGAAGCATATTGAAGCATTGTTTCGTCGCTCGAAAGTGGCAAGCGTGCCTGGATCATTATGCAAGTCCGCAGACTCTGCACGCAAAGCAATGTAAAGCGAATAGGACAATGTCGGAAACCAGCCCTCCTGGACACAGGCAGCCGATGGCGGATGCATTTCACAGGTCTTTCGACACTTTGAGGCCTTCTCTGGCTCATCCACCTTGAAGCCCCACGACCTGAGTCCAAATATGTCCAAATCTAAGGAGCACCAACAGAGAGAAAGTGAGCGAGACAAAGTCGACGGAGAAGTGAGCGAGATCATCCCACTTCTCCCACTCTTCCCTGATTTTCCCAAGCAGCCAATCGTCTTGGGGCGACGGTTGATAGTGCTCGTCACGTAGAATGACTGTGACTTTCTCCGTGGGACGAAGCGCCAGGCACGACCCCGAGGATGGCATGTTCACCTCGTCAAGTCTTTGGAGACGAAGAAAGTCTAAATATTGGATCAATGCGCACCATGAGCACCCCACCAAAACAATCTGGGGGCTACTAGCGGCTCCAGAAATGGGCTGTCTCAAAAGCCTAGACATCAACTGTTCTCTAGCTGTCTTTTTGCTGCTCAGTGGCTTCGCGCCTTAGAGTAATTAAAACCAAAGGCACAGTGAAAACACTGTCGTTGCGTGGGAGGCAAATCGATAACACAACAAAGGAACCATTCGCTGCATTCACTCCAGGAGAAGCTAAACATCAGCACTAGCATAACCCTTCTGCATATCAGGGGCAAAACGATTTCAGGCTGTTCCAAACTGCCTCAGCCAACGGTGAGGTAATCCGAAGCATCTTATTGTCAAGCTTCCGGATTTCTGGTCAAGCTTCTCTCAAGCAAATCGCTCCTGACTTTGAAGAAGGCTCGTGTGCCGGTTCCACATCCTCAGCCGAAGCATGTCATGCCCTTTACACTCTACACTGCTGCAGCGCAGCCAAGAAACCTTCAAAACGGTGAGCCACTTCAGATACATCTGGACCTGTGCTAGGTGTGCAAAACTGTGTTGACAGAAGCAATGAAGTGTGCGGTATATCTAGATATTATATATACCTGTCGTCTCAGGATTCGCACACGCCTCCATCTAGGCTTCGCAATGTGACTCGTACAGTGGAGCCTTCCTTCATTTCCAGGACTGCGCCCATGCAGCGGTTTTCTTGACCTGCTAGCTGCTAGCGGCTGGTGGCTTTCAAAGGTTGACTTGCACACTTGTTTAGCCCAACTTGGTCTGAGGGAGATCCATGCCTCACACGCCCGGAAAAAAAGTAACAAGCAGGACTTATCAGGATATAAGGCTCTCTGGTGCTTTACCATGCTTTACCTTGCCTTGGCAGCGTTGTGCCAGGCTCTCTGCAAGAAATTCCTTAGCTACACACCCTCTTTGGGATGGCCTCACAAGCAATGGTGGCAACTCTTCAGCCAAGTCTCAGCCACCCGACCTTCAAACTTCGAAGTCATCATCACCATGTTGCACTTCCATGCTGGAAAGTGACGGAACACCCGAACCTCACCATGAACTGCAGCTGAAAAAGGTACCACAAAAGGGGTGGTCTCCCCATGAGGCATCGAGAAAAGCTTCGTGCAGCCCAGTTTCCACGCTCTTACTGACGGCTTCGAGCTGGTCCTTTCTGATCTCCGGTTCTCTCGCACGCCCTCATCAAGGGTCAAAGTTGCCTATCATCTTTTCAGTTCTATCCCTGACCTCGAAGAACTATGAAAGACGTACCTCCCTTATCGGAGCAAACATTGCCCATCCTATTGCCTGCGGCCCAGGCCTCTGTCAGCAATGGTCTGTAGCCTACGCTTCGTTTCCTTGCTGTCTGTCAGCAGGCTGTGGAACTTTTGGAAGATTTTCTCCCGGTACCTTGGAGCGACTTACGTTGTCTCTGTTCGATGTTGAACCCAATAGCTACGCTGGTGCAACTTAAGGGAAAAGTCCTGTGAAGGCCAAGGAGCCCAAGTGGACATAGGAGCCCCTGACGAAACCAAGGCTTGGAGCAAGAACAACATGTTCGAGGCAGTTTTGTTCATAGATCACATCGGCACAAGGTCCCTAAAATCTTGCCAATGCGGCTGCAACATGCTGCAACAACCCCTCTCGCAAACACCACTGCCACAGATTGGATGCCGCACCTGGATTGCAAGGGTCACATTCTCAATATCGTCGTCCTCGAGCAGCGCATCGATTCCATCTTCCATGGCCTTGCCACAAAAGAACCGTATTTCAACCGCAAAAATGCCTGCTTCAACATGAAGAAAACTTGCTGGCCTTACCATCGAGGAAAACCCCACGTCCTAAATGAATGTCTTCCACAGCTCGCCTTGAGGTGCACAAAGCACAAATAGCCAAGGCTACGCGGCGAAGCCGATGTCACTGCCGATGTCCGGTCTGCTATCTTTCACTTGCAGGTGAGTAGCAGTAACAAAGGAACCGGCTCTCCTTTATTGAAGAACTCCCAGGCCAGAACTCCAGCACCAAATCGAGAATCAGTCTTAGATCAAGCTTCAGGAAATGTTGGGATTGTTCGAGTGTTCGTACTCTGATTCTTCTTCCACTTGAAGCAAGCCGCTTCTATCCATACACCTGAGGCTTGGCAAAACTCGGCACAACTGAAGATATCCAAGTGCACCAGGACTGACAGCTGTCAATAGATCTTGCCAAGAGGCCCAGGTTGATGAGTTCCTTATAAAGACTTTGGTCAAAACACCTTTTATTTAAGAGTGAACTGTCTCTGACCATGTCTGTCTATCCTCACTGAAATGCCAAGTCACACTCTTCTCAACCTCCTAAGTTCTGCTTCACGAGTGTCACGAGTGTTTAGTCGTCGGTGCATGTCACAAGTGGCTGACAACAAGCCACAAAATGCTGTTCAACAACAAGGGCCCTCAATTGGCCCAGAGTGCCACAATGTCCATGGACCCCCTTTTCATCCCAAATCGTCGTCCATCGAGGTGCCGGGAGCGAATCTTCCGACTCGAGCACCAAAATACTTTTGGCTCGGTCGCAGCACCTGGATTGGCGGGACGGTGAGGTGAACGGTGAGCAAACGAAACATCGCTACTTCTCTGAACTCTTTGCAGCAACTTGCGCGAGCGCGGCCCCCCTGTCCCCATGTTTGAGCATTGGAATACTATATAATACTATATAAACCAAAATGCAAACGTTGTGGTAGTCGGCAGTCATGTAGGTTAACATGCTAGGTGCCACCCAGTTTGCCTGTATGTGTGGTGAAAGCAGTGAAAGCACGGCATTTGAAGCACGGCCGTGGCTCGGCTCACCCTTTCTTCGATTTGTGCTCCGGATGTGAGTTTGTGCGGCTTGGAAAAAACAAGCCATAGGTGAAACTATTTCTTGGCGGGAAACCTCTTCTGCAGCCTTTGTGACCTTTCGGAAGGCTCCGAGAAAACCCACTTGGACCTTCCTGAAACAAAACGTCTTCCCTGAAGCAATGTTGGAGCATACAAAGGCCGAAAAGGATGCTGTCGAAGCAATCACATTCGTGAGTGCTGGGACGACATGTGAAGCATGAAATCTCTGGGAGATCTCTCCACTGAAGAATCAATCCACGCAGCTCCTTTCATCAAATGAGCCAATTGTCCTTCGCCGCCAGTGTCATTAATGTTCTCTGAATCCTGGCGTGACATGCCATCGTCGTGGCCCTGTCTGACGGTACTGACAAACGCCAGGGCTGCCCTGTCGGACTGCACATGAGCTGCCCTATGAGTTCGGCTGACCAAAGCAACTACGTATGCCAAAAATGCAGACAGCATCAGAAAACTCAAACGCTGTGGAATGCTCGAGTCCTGACCCATCGTCTCCAAGCTCCCCCGACTCTTGCTGACGAGTCTTTTGTTTAAATTGTCCACCGAGTCGGTGAGTGCCGAAACCTGCCGAGTCGATGAGGGCCAGTTGCTTTGTCAAGTCGAAACCTAAATGTCTAGCCATCAGTCAATTCATGCCGAAAATCGCACAAAACAACGACAAAAGTTCATAAGTACATAAAAGTTCTAGCTCATGCTGTCGTGCTGGTCCTCTCACGGGCAATGCAATCTCAGCAATTGCAAATTTGACTTACAATTGATTGTAACAAACTGTGTCCGACCTGCCGCAGGAGCATCTGCAAGTCATAGCTTCTCGCCGCCCCTTTGAGCCGTGCAACGCCCCTGTGCTTGCAAGGCATATGCAAATGAGGCTATCACATCGACTATCAGCTTTACCAGCATGTGTCATAACAAATGTGGGCCTAATCAATTCATCCATGGTCAGGTCTCCATCTTGATCCAAGTCGTGTATCAACTTGTAGAGACCATCTGCCTCAAGGTCAAATTTGAACAGAGTGAAGGGATGTGAACACCAGCATCCAATCCGCAAAGATTTTGGGAGACCTGTGCCCAAAGCTTGAACACCAGCGACCCGTGTTGGATAGCCTTCTGGTGACACCGGTGGAGTTCACCCTGGTAAGGACTAAGCTATAGTCACAATGACTATATAGTATGTTTATGTCTGTTTACTGTGTTGACCAATGACCTAGCACTAAGAAGCCTCAAGACTGCCTGCTTTTACGAAGCTTGTTGAGCGTTGGGACAGGAAGAAGTACTAAATTAACAGCACTTCAGATGAAAGATTGCAAATCCTCCAGAGTCTTGCCGGGCAACGTCAGCTGCATCTAGGTCCATTGAACCGAGCCAAAGCTGTACAGCTGGATGGCTTACCTCGAGATGGGCCAGGACCGTGACACTTCGAAGAAACGGCCAAGTCTGCTGTTGAGTGACCAGTTCCCTCCACTCCTCTGCGCTGACAAATCCATCACCTAAGAGATCCGATTCGGCGCGAGATCATGTGCCCCCTGGTACGGAGTGCCCTTTGATTCTCAGCTTCTCACCATCATTGTCTGCCTCCAGGAACAGTTGTCTCCTGAGTGTCCCAGGAACAACTAAGAACCTAGCATTTACATGCACTGGGTTGAAGGTGTTCAATCTGTGCCATTAGAAGAAGCCGCAGAAATACCGTGCTTGCCAGCCAAGCTGCATTTTCATTTCATGAAGGTTTGAAGACCTCTCTTTCTGCCTCAACTTCACTGCTCTATGCAGCACAGCCAGCAGGTGCCCGAAAAACGCAGCCCATACTTACGCACAGGACCCGTCACGCCGCACATACACACGGAACTACACAACGGGCGACATGGTTTGTCGCTAGATTCAAGACCATGAGACCACGAGGTTTGTCAGCTTCAATGCCTCTGTTTGCTAGCAAAGCGCCTCATCATGATCTGGTTGTCCGATGATGCCACCTTGAAGGTCTCCTTTACTTTGCTTCCAGACGAAAACGGCAACACAGCAGGAAGCACTACGCAAGACAAAACACTGCACAACAAGGACGTGGAGGCGCCAATCCCTTCCTGAATGAAGACGCCGTTGATCACACCCACCACCGCGAAACCGATCACCAGCTTGTGCAAGATGCATAACAACATAAACCACTCCTGATTCACAAGGATGTGTGCGAGGGGTTCACTTATCGTTTCTCTCGTGGACTTGCCCGTCATTTGCGCTTAGTTGTCATCCTCAAATGGTTGGAATCCGGAATGCTGCAATAGGACTATAACTTATATAACTATATACCTTAATTGTATTTAATTGTTATATATACACGTGTCGCAGAAAGATTACAGGTCTTTCTTCATTTTCAAGCAACACGACGCCTGACAGAGAGGTAAATTACCGGGTTTCCAGCTCTTGGTTTTACTGGTGTCATTGTGGCTTTCTGCAGCAAGGCTCAGACACCTTCTCTGACAAGCGCCTGCGGCGAACATTCATGAACATTCACTATCCGCTCCTCCGAACTGGAGGTCATCCTATGAAGAGAAGACAGCAAAGATGAAAAAAGGAAGGCGAGGCCCTTCAGGAGGCCTTACCGGCCTTACCTTCACTTGCCTTCATTCTCATCTCTTTCCTTTTTCCTTCTTTTCTCTCCGCCGGGAATCTTTGGGGCACCTGCCTGCACACCGGAGGCCAGTTCCCCAGGGTGATCTCAAACATGGACAACATAGACCGCGTGAACCTCGGTACGTTTGAAGCTGATCCTTGCACCAATTGATGAAGTCGAGTAAATGAGAGCAAGCCGATGGAAGGTCGTCCAAAAACAATCCCACCAATCTCTCTTAAGCGCCAAACGTTCCAAAATATTCATAAACATCCTGAGTTAGTCATGTCAAGACTTGTCATCCAAATCTATGCGGGTGCGGCTTACTCATCTGGCACTTCAATAGTTGCTTGATAGTTTGAGTGCAAACAAGCGTCTAGTCTGTCATTTATGTCTACGCTCTCCTCATCCAAATATGAATCATACCTGGATCGGAGGTCGGTCGTTCTAGATGACAAACAGCCAATGCAAAGGTTCTTGCAGGCGAGTAACAATACCTGGTTCAGTAGCAGTGCGATAAGAACCTGAAAGACACGAGTTGCTGCCTCATGTGTTGTGCATCTGGCAGTTCAGCATGACTATTTGCATAGTCATAGGGTCCGTGTCCTGCCTGGAGAACCAACAAAAGCACGCCTCGGATGTATCCTCCAAACACTGGAGCGCTGGAGGGAACGTTGTGCTGCAAATCAAGGTTGTTGCTATAAGCTAATAGCGATGGCCTCCAACCTAATGGTGATTCCTGTTGCTGCAATTGTGTTGCCCTTGCATCCAAGACACAAGCCCAGGTCAAAATCAAAGCGCTGCCCTTCAAAGCAGTTGTCATCAAATACAGTGAATCCTCGTTGTGCCAATCCCATTGAACAGGACGCGAAATCTGAAGCAACATTCAGCACAAAAAACTAAGTGGAATCTGTTGCCGCTTGCTGCACCAAGGCTCAAATGTTTTTATGAGCCGCACCAACCTCAGAAAGCAAATGGCATCCAAGCATGCAGCTTATACTTATACTGTACTGTTCCATAAGGAAGGTAATTATTCATGGACCCAGCACCCTACGTGCAAGTCCCAGGTGCCTCAACAAGCGGAGAAGCCTCATCAGTCTAAGCAAGCGCAGGAGCGTGGTATTCACAGGAAGCAAATCCTGCCCGACTGTGTCCACGTACCAACAGGCAACCTGTCGGAAGGCAAACGCGTGGCTCAACAATGCTCAAAATTTCCAAAACGAGTCTATCACATCGTCTTGCCAGATCTGTGGGGGACAAGTCGCCAGGAAGGTATCGAACCAGTTCCATAGGTCTTTGGCGAAGGACAAGCCCAGCGCTAAAATCTTCAACAATATTTCCATCGTAAAGGCCTCACATTCTCTGCACTTTTCCATTCGCAGCACATTCTGAAAGATTGATCTGTTGCATGCTCCGCAAACTTTGCAGCCAGTGCATTCTTTCAGTCAAGGCACCACACCAAAAATATACTCCTTACATCCAAGCACAACATGAAATGGAAACTCCTTATGGGTCCAACTCCAACTGCCTTTCAAAAACAGTTGTCCACGTACCCCGTTTGGCTGAGATGAAATTATTTCCAATGAAGTCCGCAGCATTCTGATGCTTCTATACGCACTGGAGGGATTTTGTATTCTATATAGTGCATTCCAGTCTAAGCCAATCAACAAGCGAAAACCTATTTGCCTCTTACTCCGTTAGAGAATTGTTGGAACTCCCCAGCAAGCTGCATCCTTTTGAAGGGATCACAAGAGTCACACTTAGTCTGAGTTAAGATTGTTAAGGAGAGGTTAAGGACATATCTACACTTCCCAACCGCCCATAATTGCCATGGCTGGTTCACCTTGTTGTTTTGCTATCACACACGCAAGGACCCCCCTGTGGTCGTATTGAGAGACCCTCAACAATCACTGCCTGAACCAAGGCTCAAGCACCGTAAAAGCTGACTCAGCCCAAGGCAAGGATGTCTCCACTCTTTGGTAGTCGGCATACCCCAAACTTGCACCGATGTCGACGCCTGGAACAAAGGATAAACAGGTTTATATAAAAATTATTATATATAATGTTATCTAATGGCACCATGCATCAACCTGGAAACAGACTGAGGATCCTCGGATCCTTCAATTCTGTGATGCACTCTGGGCAACATGCTGACAGATCGCTCGCCTGCTCGTTGGACATCAGCAGCCATCACCAGTGCATTGAACACCTCGGACCAGGAGTCCCCAACTCTCCAACACTTTCCACTGGGAAGGAAAGAATCTGACGACAGAATATCCAAGGAGCGATGAGGCCGGCGAAAGTGGTTTCGAACAATGCACTTTGCCTGGGGCAGCAGCCAAGGATTGCGGATACGAAACTTGGTGAGCCCTTGCTACTAGTAGTAGTGCATAGTAATGCCCTTGTTACCAGTAGCGATGCCCTCGTTACATTGTTACTAGTAATAGCTTCTCGTTAACAAACTTGGTGATGCCATGCGATAAGGCCAAGTTGCACAAACCGTCGGAATTTCATGTACCAACTCTCGTGCTGTTCTCCATACCAATGGGCATTGCTCTGGAGGATGCCCAAGTGTGCAAACCTCAAGAAAACACCCAGCAACATCGCAGCAACATCTGATACTTTGACATTCATGGTATTCATCTGCCAACTCTCCGGATCGGAGAGGTTGTCGCGTTCTCCGTCGCAACCAAGGCACTGTGAGCCTGCCACTCCTTGCGTTTGCTTTCGCATGAGCTTTGGCGAGCCGCTTCCCGAGGGCGATCCCGATCCCTGCCAACACAGCACGTTGGACAGAAACATATAATATGCCAACTGTAGCGGCCTCTCTTCGAGCGCTCAACTCTGCTGCGTCATCATGACCTTTTGAAGCCAGAAAACGGCAAGCATCTTTCAGAAAAAAACACTTGCCACAGCACTTTTTCTGCCCAAATGGTTTGGTGTTGGGAAGGCCCAAATGACAGTTTGAGCGTTCAGGCCCGAACCTTTGCTGGGACCATTCTCTTCATCAAAGTAGTTGTTCTGTTCAGCATGCTCGAAAATCTGCACATTCTTTGTGCCTGGGCATGACTTTCAGCTGTCACAGGCTTAAAGCTGCAGCACTCGGCACTCAATGTCACAAAATCAAGGACATTCTCCACATATTTTGGGGCACACAAAATATTCGATTCAGCTTCAGACCTGTCTCTTTCCGCAACTTTTTGGTCAGCTCAACAATTGTTGTGCTCAATGAGTTGATTTGAAGCTCGTGCTCCTCCCGCAAACGATCCTCACCCAATTCAGGATGGCAGAACGTGACTTGTCACAGCACATGCAACAAACAGCTCTCTCTCCCTAACGACTATCCACAGACACACACACACACACACACCCACACACTTGCTGCAGCTGCGGGTCCAACAAAGAGATAAATATCCTGAATATCGCAGCTGTCCAGCGGGCGCAACAAAGACTTCAATCTCATACAGCACCCCTCTTTAAGTGTACGATCCTGTCTCGCAGTCGATCCCTCCAAACAAAAAACGCATGTTTCGCGGCCAAGAGTCTCATCCGCTGGAATATGTGATGGATCGCCGCCATGCAAAGCCTGTTCAGAAATACCCTCCAACATGTGTAATGTGTTCCAACATGTTTGGACTCTGGGACCTAGGCTGCCATCCACCAGCCATGCCCTGGGCCTGCTCCAGAGCGAAATTCTGATCTTGTGGTGGCATGCATCCTGAGCGCTGAAAGCTTCACTTGGATTCTTCACTGATGCTGGTCTTGTGCAGCAACACAAAGGTACACTCCCTGAATTAATGATGGAACATTATGGCCTCTTGCATGACCATTTTCCTCTACGAACAGGTGGTTCTCCACTTCCATGACTATTTCGGGGAGTGTAGGCTGAAGTCTGTGAGTACTAGTACACAAAAATTTTTCACACGAAAATGTGTATATATATAGATATAATGCACCCATTGTAGCAATACTTCACAAGGCCAATATGAGGGAACAAAACACAGAAAAACTCTGCACTAGCAGCCAAAGACTTGGGTCCCAATTTTCAACTTCGGCACAGCTGGCCACTCATGCAAACCTCACTCCCTCGCTCAACATCTTGACTTTCTCTACCGGCCCTCTGCCAGAGCCCCTCACCGCATTCCTCGATTTCAGTCAAGTCTCCAAACAAATGTCGTCGTGCGTTGCTCCAACTTCAGCTTGAGCCGAAACAGTCAGTGAAAGGCAACACATATATCAGAATACCAGGCGAACGTGCGACGCAAACCCAAGATATGACATACAGTACCTCACAGACCATCAAAGACCCTCAAAGGACCGAGGGATCCATGAAGCGGCGTTTCATGGCATTTCTGACAAGGCAAGCGAAAGCGAAGCCAAAGCGGCCAAGCTAACATCCACGTAATAGCAACAAAAGGAACCTAAGAGCGTTGGCCTCCACCCTAGAAGCGATGGCCTACAAACCAATAGCGAAAGGCAAGGCACAAATCTCTCATGGTTTCATAGTCCCAGCATACACCCACCATTGCCACTACCTGCAGTTCGATGGACGGACCCCGTGCGCTTGTTTGGAAATCAATGCCGTGCCACCCTTCCTTGTCCGTCACGTCTATCTCTAATTGTTCAACGCTGCCATTCCTGGTGACTCCTCAACAGTCAGGTTGCAGCATTCATAGCGCAGTCCATAGAGCTTTGGAACAGCTTTGATGCCAGCGCTCTTTGCTCAACGTACTAGAATCTAGAAACATTAAACAAAATACAAAACTTACAGACTCGGCACTGTATATGCAAACAAGTATGCAAAGCACGTGCACAGAACACTGAATCCTGAAGTGCAATGAAATATCCTCAATCTTCATTGCGGAGCACACTGTAAATAATATACAAGACTCCCAGGGCACATTCTCCATTAAAAATTAGAGGTGTATGTATACATCTACTTCGGCATCATTGTGCCATAATAAAGTCGCTCGTCTGCAAGAATGGTCACTCCTTCAAATTGGGCATGCTGCGTCAATGCTGCTCGGGCCGCACAACAAGCAACAAAGCTGTCCAGTGAGTACACGTCAAACAGCACCACCTGCAAAACAATGAGAAGCTTGACAAACTTAACATTACTGTGACCATTACCGTGTTTGCTGATTTTGCTTGTCCATCACCTTATCGGTATCGTTTTGGGTGAGTGTGTTGAAGCTTTCCGTGCAATATGAATTTTGAGACCCCTGACGACTTGCAACTTTCACTCGTGATCCTAGCTGCCCAGCTCATGCGAGGTCATCCGCTCTCCCAATACATGGCTAGTCTTGATGAAGAAATCACGGCTGATGGTGACTCTGAACTTCTTCAAAGGACTCTTTCTGGATTTGGTAGGAGACATCATGAGACATCTCACCTCAACTTCTCCTGGAGTGAAGCTTCCGTCATCGAGGGAGAACTCTTTGGACTTCACGAGGTGGCGGCGTTTTTCGTCCTTGGAATGCTTGGTCCTTGACATCTTGCGTTTCGCGTTTTCAAGGCTCTTCGAGCAAAGCAACCCACAATATTTTGAGCAAAACCTCTGGCAAACCCCGTTTGATTGGCACTTCGGTCCCTAAGTTTCAATAGTCCTGACATGTCCTGACGACTTGTTTGCTTCTCCCTTTCTCCCTCCCTCTCTCTCGCTCTCCCTCCCTCCCTCTCTCTCACGCTAAAATGCGAGTCAGTTGCCACCAGGTCAGCAAAATTTTCCCTTTGCACCGTATCACGCTTCCGCCTCAACCAGCGGCTCTTCGAATCGCCGATCGAAAAGCCCCGTGCTGAGCCCTGGTTTGGTGTGGAAGGTGCCGTCCGCCTTGGCGGAGACGGCGGTGCCATTGGACCGAGTGGTGAGCGACTGATGGGACTTGAGGAGATCCCACTGTAACACTCAATGCAACTGGTCGGCATGTGAAGACCAGATGTATCATCCAAATCCAAATCTTAAGATTCAATTCTCGACATTCCTGTGGCAACATGGGCTTGGGCTTCAGGTTGGCTGACAAAGTCCTTGAGCCAATGCTCACCTTCACTTCTGTCAATGGTTCCTGTGCCATTTCACTTTTGAGGAACTTCATGCTTCGAGCTCGCATGACGCAAAGCATGTGCCCGATGTTTGTCGCGAAGGCATGGTCTAGACCCAACCCTATCCGCACGGATCAAGCGCAAAATAGATAGGCCGCCATTGCTATACAAATGCAGCCCCGACTATGAGCGCTGGAGCCATGAGGCCTGGACACTGTACAGGCAATCTTTAAGAGTGCAAGCTGTAAGCTTGGATCTCAATATCACACCACTGGCATATGTGCTACCATTTCCTCCACCAAGACAAAAAGCTGGATTCTTGGTGGACGTAGGCAGATGCTTTCCTGCTGCAAAACGCTGTAAACATAGACCCACACACACAGGCATTCTTGTGGCTGAGCTCGTGCAGCGCCTGTGAATGGCAACTTGGTACAAAGCGCTTCTGTCCCTGCATCTCTAATGTTCAAACACGAAGGAAGCAAAATTCAATCTAACCTGTCAATGTGCTCAAGCTTCCACTAAACCCTATCAATCGAGTTAACGCTTCGCCTGTGAGATTGAGCCTCTAGGGAGCCAAGAAGAGCTTTCGCCTGTTTGAACTTGAACGATAGCCTTAGCATATGGGACACCCATGGAATTTCACTTACTCTTCGTCTGACATGACATGAATGTTCAATAATGTTTGCTGTGTCTGTGAGCCTACCGAATGGAACGAATGCATATCCTCGTTCTCAGGCTTTCAATCGAGGTGCTCATGCAGGTGAAGCCATCCAGTGCCTAGAAGCGATGCATGGTCTAACATATTGACAGCCAGGCCGTGGTCTAACCTAGCGATGCATGGATGTCTCTAGCCAGGCCACGATGGTCGCTTGAATTCCGTCCGTGCGGGTCCATACTTCGCATCGACCAGCACTGAACTCAATGCCCACACATGAAGGCGCCTCCACGCGGTCAACATGAACAAAATTGAGCAAGCAAAAGAGTTGAAGTTGCAAGTTGACGCAGTCATTTTCAATATTTGAGTATATACTGTGGTCCCTCAAAGCCTTGCCTGAACACATGCTGCTTGGCAATCGCCAAGACGAAAAACCCCTCTCGGCGAAGGCTGATGGACCAAGGAGAGAAGCACACACTATATAAATTGCAAAAAAGTGATTAGTATTGAATAAATATACTGCAGTTGCATCATCAGTGCCTTGAATCACGTCATAGTTGCCAGGATTATTGTCAGTCGCTGTGGCTCCACGACAGGCACGGCCAGTCCCACCATCAACCGGCTCGAAGTCGAGTGAAATTGGATCCGTCCTTGACAGCTGAACTCTTTCAGGGGACAGGGCATGAGACGAGAATGGTTTCATTTTTAGCAACCCTTCAAGAGGTTCAAAAGTCCAAAAAACTCAGCTAAGCCACGTGGTAGTCAAACTTGTCACCAAGCGCAAGCAAGTGAAGCCATCCTCAGTGATAGGACAACTGAATACAAAATGGCACCCCGCGACCTCAAGCAGGTCCACCATACTGAGTCCGCTGAGTCGCCAAAGAAATGGATGCAGCGATGCCATCCGGACGGGTCCAAACCTCACAGCGGCTTCCGCTGTGCTCGATGCCCACACAGTCCTGGCCCACTGTAGCACTGTGCGGGAAACTTCAGGTGCTCAGTGCTGCAGCCTTCTGTAGCCCACATTACATCTCATTACTGCAACACAAACGACAGCAAGTCTGAGGCTCCTCCTTTAGGATGCATTGCTCCTCGCAGGCCTCCACTGAGCTGATTCCGGATACAACCTGAGTTCCGGCTGGGCAAAAACTGAACCCGCTCTGACTTAGCCACACTTTAACAAGCAGCATGTCTGATGAAATCGGGTTGTGTGTGCTTTGTTCCTTGCCGAACGTCTATGCACCATTTACCTTGTTACTTGTTGCAGCTCAGCCGCTGTATAGTAATTGGCTGAGTTGTCGCTTGGGCTGTTGCCTCGGCAAGCCCTGTTGTTACCACCATCAACTGGCTCAAACCTGCCCAGGCCCAGGCGGGCGCTGCACGAGGACGTGGTAACGGGGCTTACATCACAACCTACCAGCGATGGCCTCCAACCTAAGAGCGATGGCCTCCAACTAGCGATGGCCTCCAACCTAAAGCTAAACTGACTATGCACGACATCCCACGACAGGCAACACTGCTGCACCACCTGTAGGGCATTTCAGAAGTTGTCGTAATGCTGGGGGTGGTGATCAATGGCGGGACAACTGAGAGGGTGCACAACCGACCTCGGTTGTCTTGAAATGATGGAATGCTGGCCGGAACCTGCTGGCACTTGCCTCATCTATCTTTCAATGATCCACTTTCTTCCATGCTATGCATGTTGGCCACAGCTTGATGGCTAATCCAGGTGAGACGATGGTGTTTGTTTTCCCACCGAGGTGCTGTTCATGCATTGCCAAAGTACACCTCCCGTATAGTTTGACATCGCCTTGCAGCTCTCGAGGTCAGTGGCCTGGGGGCAATCCGTCGAGGGCAGCACACGCAAACGATACACGAGAAGGGGTTCTCATGAGGTGAGCTGAGATGATCTTAGCCAGCACTGGAATCACTGTTTGATATATAAATATAAATATATATCTCTCTGTGTGTGTATGTATGTAGGTGCGAAAAGCAAGGTACGGAGCCTAGGAACCCTGGATCTACCACGGGGCTGCGCTCCAGCCTTTTCTCTTAGCGAGCTCGAGAATCCCACCCTCTGGGAGATATGGCAGCAGGTGAATGGCAAATCAGGGGGAACAACTCATGAACAAGACATCAAATTCGCACTGGTGACATTCTTTGTTGCCTTCACCGGCCGCCAAGGTGCATTGGGATCTAGGGACGTGTCCGGATCCCTAGCCTCGGTGAGAGACACAGTGGGATTTTGTGCCCACTTCCTCAAGGCGTCTCGCAAAGCTCTCGACCTTTTCGTCAAGGCATCAGCTTTCATCTCACCTGTTGGCACCCACCTCAAATTCCGGCATGTAGAGCGCAAGGCTGCCACATCCATCTCCACTCTCTTTTCACTGAAGGTCGTGGCCAGTCTGTGTATGGAATCATACAAGCTCCTGGCATCTGTGACAGGCCAGACAGGAAATGGCGATCGGCTCGAATGCGAGGCCACATAGCCTTCAATCACCAGTTCACCGAGAAGGCAGCCGATGAAGTTTGCGCTGTCCTCGGAGCGGTCCAAACTGGCTGCCTCTGCTGCAAGCGTAGAGCGAAGAACCCTTTGATGCCGGAAAGATTTCCAGTCCAGCAGTGATGCTTCTGCCTCTCCATGAAGAGCTTCTTCAGTTGAAGCCAAAACCAAATAACCTCCCTGGGATTTCCCTCCTGGTGCGTTCCCGAATGCAGCATCTCCGTAGGAGATCAGGACCAGGTTCTCCAGGGGAATCGGTTTCACCATGATGTGGCTATCAGCCGTAGCCTTGATGTAGCGAAGCGTGGTGTTGGCATCCATGAGGTCCTGCAGAGTCAACTCTGCTTGGGCTTTCTGGAGGAGGCTTGTTTCACTGGCAATGTCAGGTCTGGTGGTTCCGCTCATCCACTGCAAGGAGCCAATAGCTGACCTGAACTCGCTCATGAGCTCTTGGTTGTTGCCGATGGGTTCATTGGCGTCGCCCTTCACGCGACTGACAAAAACATCAGCAGCGTAGTGGCTCTGTGACAAAGTGATCGTGTGGTTGGAGTGCTTCACGATCCTTCGTCCAATGAACACAAAGTCATTGACTTCCCATTCGCTGCCCCATGTGAAGCTGCCCTCAACCTCTTTCAACACTCCTGGCTCCAAGGAACTGGCCAAAATGTCGTCGACATGTATACCCAGCACTGCAATGACCTTGGTTCCGTTGAACTTGAGGAAGAGGCAAGGGTCCAATGAATGAACCTGCCAACCAAGGCTCTCCATGGTCTCACGAACATGGATGTACCAACGCCGAGGGGCGTTTGCAGCGCCGTAGACAGGAGCTGTCAACTGGTAAAGAGTGTCAGGGGCATTGTTCCAGTCCTCGATGGCGGCCAATGAGATGCCGTCCTGAGGGACCCTCATGTAAATCTTCTCAGGCCTCTCATCATCTGGTTTGCCCTGCAAAAAGGCGCTCTTGCAGTCACCGTTCACCAAATCAGTTCCCATGGAAGCCGCCCACTGAAGCAAAGCCATCAACCCGATGCGACTCAAGACAGGGGCATCTCGAGAAAGAAGAGGAAGGTGAGGATCTCGAAATCCTTGGATCGCAATGCAAGCCTTTGCCTTGTGGCTCGTGCCCCCGTCGATCGGCTTCCACCGATAGCATACCCGTGAGGGTAAGATGAGATGCTTTGGAACCGTGCTCGGGTCACCGGTGAACTTGATGCAAGAGCTCCACTTCTTCCATTCGTTCCATTCCTTGGTGATGGAGTCGATGAAGGCAGGCCAGTCGGCTGTGGGAATGGATCGCCAGGGAAGCTCACGTTTCAGAGCCTGGCGTTGAGTGCGCTTCAAGCCACCATCCTCCTCGTCCGAAGTGTCCTGCATCTTGATGTTGTTGTTGGTGCCGTTGAGCAAGCATGTCTGAAAGGTCTCGGCAGTCTCAGAGTAGCTGACCAAGTTTGCCTGTGCATCAAGCCAGTCTTCGAAGTGACTTGCCGTCATGAAGTGTTGCTGTCCGTCGAAGAGAGTCTGACGCTCTGGGGGAGGGCCATCCCAGCCATTCTGGAAGGCTTCTTGTCGTCCATGACGAAGGAGCCAAACTTGGTGAGGTTGAAGATGGCCATACAACCTTCTCTGTTGCAGCAACATTTCTTGATCTAACTTCTTTCTGTCACGACGAGGTGCGTGGTAGATGACCATCTTCTTGTTGAGGTCGAAGTCATTGACATCAAGGTCGGTCTCGACATTGGCCAAGGTCAGCCAGCTCCATTGCTCCTCGGTCGTGGACCAGCAAGCTACACTTCTCAGAGTGGAGCCAGTAGTTGATGAACCTGGCTCTTTGTTTGGACTTCGATGGATCTCATTGTTCTGCCAAGTGCCTGAGATCCAAGCCGCTTGTAGTTCTTCTTGTTGAGGAAGATGGAGGTCTTCTGTTAGAGCAAGTTGGGAGTTTCTCCAACTTCTGGTGCGGGAATCAAACTCAACATCTTCATCAAACCAACTTTGCACATCTCCAGGGTGGTCAGTGAATTCAAAACAAAGACATCGGCAGCACTGAGGTCGTCCAGAAAACAGTTGCTTCTCCCGACATCCACAAAACTTGCAAAAAGATTTGGCACTGATCGTGTACGTCTCGTACTCAGCGAGTGAAACAGCATTGGTCTGATCCAAGGTCGTCTCAGACGGAAGATCATCACGAGGTTCCGGAGGAAGGGGATCAGCCATCAAATCAGCATCTTCAGGCACAGGAGGAAGCACCTCAGTGCCTTGAGAGACTTGTCGTGCCTGCACTGAACTCTGTCGTGAGAAGCTTGTTGGAAGATCAGGAACATCTGAAACTGACGATCTGACAGAAGGTGCAGCCGAGGTCTTGATTCGCTTGACATCCAAAGGCCCATCAGAAGCCGTAGAACTCCTCCGTGATGCCGCTGCGGCGTCTCGAGGTGATGCCGGTGCCAGTATGCCTGATGGCACAGATGCGGAGCTAGGCTCATCCAAAGGTTGCCCTGCAGCATGGTAGTGCGTCCCTCAAGTCGTGAGCAGCTGCGTGTTTCTTGGAGAGATCTTGCTCAGCTGACCTCAGGATGGCTAAGTCCTGGTGGTCTGGTATCCAGAGCTCTTGTCCTGCCAGGGTCCTTGCTTGTTCTCGAGCAACTTGAACCAATCTTCCCCGGTCGTTCCTCACCCAGAGAGAACCACTGACTCCAGGGTCGATGCCGACAATGATGCCCTGCCTGTAGCCCGGTTGCGCGCCCTCATTGTCTAGGTTGTTGCGAAGTCGGTAGTAGACGATTTTCATGCCCACTTCAAA